CTGATTTAAACCAATAAAGCAAAGAGCCCATTGCACAGTAATAAGACTATTGAAATTCCAGCCAACAAGTCGCAGATGCGAGCCTCGGATGCCGCAACATTTGGGGTCGGGTATGGCTGGCTAATGACGGCCAATAAACTAGGGACGGCCATCCCACTCTCCCTTGTCACTGTCTGTAGTGTCCAAAATCTTCAGCTGGGTTGTTTGAGTACTCGACTTCATCCTTACCCTAGCGTCTTCTGCGGAGGTTGAGGTAAGCAAATATTGAGAAAGCTGCAGGTGCGGCATCTCAAAGTCATAGGCAACTCGGGATACGTTTGCTGGTAAAACAGTCGGTTGCGAAATATCTGGGAAAATATTCATCGCCTTTAAACGTAATGTTGGACCCAGTAAGTGCTGCATCTGCGTGAGTTACTTCATTAGCAACTATTTTTGTAATATTATCTCTGCCAGCACAATCCCCGGATTCCCTCGTGCTCTAGACTGGGTAATCCGGGGGAATCTGGGGATAAAACATTTAATTAACGAATTATATCTACAAAACCCATTTTCCAAAATCTGCTTTTATCAATAGGTTATTAATCACGTTATCCTCTAACAAAACAATCCATTTTTTACTGCGTTAACCTTTCTTCTAGTTTGTGTTGGCGTTAATACTAGAAAATGTGCCTCAATGACCTCGCCCGATGTTAGGGCTCACTTTCCCGACATGCACGCATTCGCCGTTGGTCGGGCGTGAGTTAGCAATGATATTAAAGCCTACATCAGCGTCCTTGTCCGAGGTTTGAGTACGCGACCTAACTTTTCCTCCTAATTTTTTTATTTTACAGGAATATTGCGATCTAATTAGTTCCCTGACATGCCCCACCCGTCCTCTCCTATAAAATCAGGTGCCCGTGAGCCTGATGGGCTCGCTTCACACGCTCCCCAGGCGGCCCCACAAGGAATCCCTACCACTGAGTATTATTTCCATCTTATGTCACCCACTTCCCTTTGCTTAATAACTTGCAGCCTATTGTGTCATCGGTGAGTATAACCTGATTTTACGCATAGGTTTTTTCCCGCGATATAATTTTGTAGGTCAAAGTTAGATTCGTATATAAAAAGGCCGTTTTTGATGCACTTTGTCTAGGACATAATATCCAGCAATACAACAGTCTGGAATCTCGAAGATGATAAATTAGCGTCGTTCAAGTAACAGTTGGGCGTCCGTATCTCGGTACTTATCTGTTAAAATGCATCAGTAACTGCTTATATTCTGAATGCATTTTTATACTATGCATACTCCTATTCAGATGGTGGAAGTTACTCTAGGAGGTATGTTAGCCGCTTGAGTCATAAAGATATAAACTCCCGAGTGCATTAAAGCTCAGGTGAAATATACTGTGCCAAGTTATGGTAGAGAATGTTTTTGAGTTGCCTGACGGGAGGTGTCTGTGAATAGGCTCTCATCCCGAAAAAATACTAATCTGCAGAATTAGCATTTATTGCTGATAGATGAAGATGCGGCTCTCCAGATTTACGTGTGAATTACGCGCTACGTGGTAGGCCAGTAAGATCCCCCGAGGGTGATAAGGGTCACGCCAGCGATTGTTACCAGATATGTAACTGACGTAAACTTTAAAATTAAACAAACAAAAAAATGAACGAAAAAGTGTCTTTGTTTTTCAACCATGTTCTGGTTTTGCTTGTGCTTTCTGTACTTCCGGTCTGCCAAAGTATTCCACTGTGCTGACCATTGGACAGTCAACACGGCCCATGGTATAGTCAAAGTAAAGATTAATCTCTGTTGGTGCGCATTTTGGACCACCAGTGAAATTAAATTCCGACAGTCTTTGGTTGCATTTAATCACTGTCTCAGCGTATTTACTGGCCTCCGTAAATACAACAATGGCTTTCGTCGGCATTTGAGGAACTTTAGTACGAATGAGCTCCCTCAGCATATACCCAGTGTAGTCCTGGCTGACGAGGGCCTCGAAGGTAGTTTGCATGTCAAGAGGCTCAAATGTAGGAATCTTGAAGGTAGCAAGAAACCACTTATCTGGTCGATCCAAGTCCATAATAAGTGGATCATCGTCGGCCACATATTTGTTAGCCAAGGCCTTCCAGATACCCTCATACAATTTTGAGTATTCTATTCGACCTGAGGCAGTGGGGTCTATCATTCTGCAAATGATATGCTGCTCCAGCTCAGAAAAAGGAGTTCGTAAATTACGAAAAGCGAGTTTAAATTCAGTCTCAGAAATTATATCTTCCCCGTAGAGAGACATAAACTTTAGGTATCGTTTTTCATTTTTATTGTACCAGTCGTCGATTCGGTCGACGAAGTGTTGGAAGTCAGCGATACGTTCCATGTAACTCGCCATCTCTTTATCGAATACCTTTCCATCTTTCTTTGTCAGTTTCTCAAGTTTCTTCAGTACTTTAAGTGATTTTGGCGGCATCTTGGCGCACTTGTCGGCCGACAGTAATGCATGCCTGATTAAACTCAGTTATCGATCCGGGCGCGTCGGGCCACGTGACTAGACCACGTGTTGTCTAGTCAGTTGGCCACACGTGAAGCGCTTATAGCCGGTGTACTTTACTTTCTGTACACGCCATTAACTAGGACTCAACCCTCTGGGGATTTTCAACAGGCATGGAAAATAGGATTTCGGCAACTTGCAGTACAGCACTATTATTTACAACATTCCTGGTCAGCTGATGTAGGCGTTTGGAAAGCCCCGTGAACGTTTCTGAGATTTGGAGTATACTGCATTCCTGTGCAACTGACACATCTACTTTTTATCGCTTTTTATAACTCACTGTCGTGCTGCGTTACATATGTTCAGTTAATTTCGCCGAAGACGATAGCCCTTATACGAAGCAACAGAAATAATTAGACATATCGCTTGTCATTCTTTAGGAATAATTCACGTAGCTGTTGTGACCCAAATCCGTGCGCAATACTTGCCACTCGTGGCTGCTAGCAATGCCCAAGCACTAGTGCCTGCCTAACCCAATCCGGTCTAGCCAATCACCGTCAAGGCTGACTAACAAAGGACCTCACTGTGAAGACTGCCTCGTTGACACACTTCAGACGCCGGCCCTGGCGACCGGACGTACGTTCGTTCAGCTGCCAGTTTCCTCCAACCTATTCTCCACTAGCTCTGTACAGAATATACTTTTCCTCCCACCTGGCGTCCCATTTATCCTCTTCCCACACGGAACCGAACCTGCAGATCGCAGTGGTATCACATAAATCTTGACATACATCCTCGTTTCGCTCACATTCTACCTATACTTAGTAAATTATGGCTACAGATTCGGAGGTAGCAAATCACGCCTGGTAGATGGGGGGGGGCGTCTTAAACTTGGACGCCATTAAAATTGTGGGCCAAAGTGATGGTCATACATCAACATAGTTGGAAGAAGCCCGGTTGGCCATCAACTACTGAGTTAACCGCCGCATTACTTTGCCTCCGCTGAATATGCTTTAACGAACCTTCTTGCAGGAGATAGTAACAGCCCATAAAAAATGTGGCCGCCACTTGTCACCGCGGTCAACGAGGACGGGAGCCACACAGCTTACGGTTAAACGGACTCAGATTAAGTTCCAAAGTCGGCACAGGCGGTATAGGCATAAAAGTGCGCTGCACGCAAGAATTTCTAGTATCTGCAGGTTTGTAGGCGAAACCACTAATCTAAACGGCAGACTTTAATTAAACAATTCCCAATGCACGCTTCGCTTTCTCCTGGCATGTTATCTGGTATTTTCATTACGA